AACATACAACACTTCCGGGTTAAAAGATAAAATCAGTCATTGATAAACGAAAGTAAAAGAGCATTTCTAATAGACTCAGAGCAAGTGCGCGGAATTTCAACACAAACATAATGCTAAAGCGACGCTTCGGAAGGCAACGTCCCACTTGCTTTCGCTACTTGCCTGACCCAAGCGTAGCGAGCTGCCTGTCGGCTGTATCACCCGGCTACTTAGTGAATGCACAATCCACTCCACCCATTCTTCAAACCGAGCCCGGTGACTGCAGAATCGCAAGTTCTGAAATCTCACCTGTCCAATGCAAGTCGCGTTAAATATTGTTAAATCGTCAATGCTGCTTGAAGTCATTACCCCGAAAGACCCCCACTGAATCCCGTGGCTTACTTTTGAGGCCGACATATTGACCGCACAAAAAAGTCGAGAACAGAAGGCATCAAGACACGTGCAAAAATGTTGAACAGTTAGCACTAGATAGGCCAGTTTCAAGTTCCCCTGTTGCTTTTAAAAGATTTTGACTCCCAACGAAGACACTCAGAGGTCACTGTAAGACAACTTGGAATCGTAGCTAGATCATGTCAGTACAAGCCGTACATGACTCAGCATATGGACTGATGTTTCCAGAAATGTTTCTTTTGTCTCTGATTACTTGTAAATGTTATGCATGCCCACTTTTGCCCTTTAGAAGACACTGTACCTGAGACGACACTTTAACTTCAATAAATTCAGACTGAAAAAAAAAATTATTATCAAAAAGCTACGAACTACTCGAAAGGAATGCACAAATCTATGTTTTTCTAGACACTGGCACACCGCGAGCAATGCCTTCGTGGCTAGTGCACGCCCCCGGCACAAATGTCACCAACTGTAATCACGTGTACATCTCCAGGAATAGGAGCGTGTAAAAAATAAAAGAGGTGAGTGACTTTTTTCATTTAGAACCACATGAGGATCAAAAGCTCAAGTTTTCAGAAGAAAACAAAAGACACGCAGTACCACTAGTTGTTGTCATTTCTAAAACAATATGATCGTTACTGTTTTAACCTTAAATATTGGCCAGGACGCTTGTAGGTCTTCATGAGAGCGGTACTTCTTTTATGATTATGTATGTCGGGGGCGGAAGCAGCAAATCAGTGTTTCAATTTACCCGTATCTAACGAATTAGGCAGTCACACGACAAAAGAAAGTGCAGAATGGGGATCCCTAGAAAAGAACTAGGTATCACCGGCACCGTTTTGTTCGCTCTGCTCTGGACAACACCTCATGCAGGTAAGATCTTCGATCATTTGCAAAAGCTGATCACCACTAAACGTCCCTAAACATCACCCTGAACATCACTTGATGCCCGAATTCACGTGATAATTGCATAGCAAAGCCGATTCTTCATTCCTGGCGCTCCATATTATGTCGTTACATTTGAAAGTTCGTCATCATCATCATCGGCCTGACTACGTCCACTGCAGCACGACGGCCTCTCGCATGTTCTGCAAGTCAACTCGGTCCTGTGCTTGCTGCTGCCATTTTATACCCGCAAACTTCTTAATCACATCTGCTCACCTAACTTTAGGTCTTCTTCTAATCCGCCAAATTATGCATTCACACGATGTGCGCCTAAACATCACTTGATGCCCAAATTGCACGTGATAATTGCATAGCAAAGCCGATTCTTCATTCCTGGCGCTCCATATTATGTCGTTACATTTGAAAGTTCATCATCATCATCATCGGCCTGACTACGTCCACTGCAGCACGACGGCCTCTCGCATGTTCTGCAAGTCAACTCGGTCCTGTGCTTGCTGCTGCCATTTTATACCCGCAAACTTCTTAATCACATCTGCTCACCTAACTTAGGTCTTCTTCTAATCCGCCAAATTATGCATTCACACGATGTGCGCCTAAACATCACTTGATGCCCAAATTGCACGTGATAATTGCATAGCAAAGCCGATTCTTCATTCCTGGCGCTCCATATTATGTCGTTACATTTGAAAGTTCATCATCATCATCATCGGCCTGACTACGTCCACTGCAGCACGACGGCCTCTCGCATGTTCTGCAAGTCAACTCGGTCCTGTGCTTGCTGCTGCCATTTTATACCCGCAAACTTCTTAATCACATCTGATCACCTAACTTTAGGTCTCCTTCTAATCCGCCAAATTATGCATTCACACGATGTGCGCCTAAACATCACGTGATGCCCAAATTACACGTGATAATTGCATAGCAAAGCGGATTCTTCATTCCTGGCGCTTCATAATATGTCGTTACATTTGAAAGTTCATCATCATCATCATCATCGGCCTGACTACGTCCACTGCAGCACGACGGCCTCTCGCATGTTCTGCCAGTCAACTTGGTCCTGTGCTTGCTACTGCCATTTTATACCCGCAAACTTCTTAATCACATCTGCTCACCTAACTTTATGTCTCCTTCTAATCCGTCAAACTATGCATTCACATGATGTGCGCCTAAACATCACTTGATGCCCAAATTGCACGTGATAATTGCATATCAAGGCCGATTTTTCATTCCTGGCGCTTCAAGATATGTCTTTACATTTGAAAGTTCATCATCATCATCATCGTTGGCCTGACTATGTCTTTTGCATAACAAATGCCTCTCGCATGTTTCCCCAGTCAACTTGGTCCTGTGCTTGCTGCTGCCATTTTATACCTGGAAACTTCTTCATTCCATCTGCTCACCTAACTTTCTGTCTCCCCCTAACCCGCTTGCCTTTCCTAGGAATCAAGTCAGTTACACTTAACAACCAGTAGTTATCCTGCCTAGCACTACATGCCCGACCCAATATAATTTCCTCTTCTTGATTTCAACTACGATATCTTCAACCCTGGTTTGTCCCCTGATTCACACTGCTCTTTTCTTTTCTTTTAAGGTTACACCTACCATTTTCCTTTCCATCGCTTGCTGCGCGGTCCTCAATATAGGCTGAACCCTCTCTTTAAGTATCCAGGTTTCTGCTCCGTAGCTAAGGACCGGCAAGGTTCAGCTGTTATATACCTTCGTCTTGAGGGATAGTGGCAATCTACCAGTTACGACTTGAGAGTGCTTGCCAAATGTGCCACCCCATTCATATTATTCTAGTTACTTCCATCTTGTGGTTTGGCTCCTCGGTTATTACCTGTTCTAAGTGTACGTAGTCTTTTACAACTTCAAGTGTACTATTACCTATCTCGAAGAGCGGGTCTCTTTCGAGATACTTGTACATTACTTTCGTTTTCTGCAGAATAACTTTAAGACCGACCTTTTTGCTCTCCTTGTCTAGCTCCATAATCATGAGTTGCAATTCGTCCCCTGAGTTACTCAGCAATTCGATGTCATCGGCAAAGCACAGGTTACTAAGGTACTCTTCATTAATAATGGAAGCAATGAAAATTAATGGATGGCAAATACTAAACTTCCAGCAGTCGCTGATGTCTAATGTTTAATTAACAGACGAGCCAGACCATACAGTGTCAGCTACGTTTGCAAAACAACCGCATCGCCTAACATGTGGCTTCATGGAGCCTTCAAGCACTGCCTGATAATACTTTGCTCGTGGTTTAAAAGCAATCGCGTACGTTAAAGAGAGCGAAAAACTTCGCCTTCAACAGTTTAACGCGATAGCGATATCCTGTTCCTTGTGCGTACTCCAAAAACTTCAGGCACGAATTTTTCTCGAACTTGCTTTGCGCCCCCTACGTGGCCTTGGTATTGTAAACGCAGTAACATTTGCGCCTGTTGTTGTGGGTGACTGGCGTTATACTATGAAGTCATTCTTTTCAAATTCATTAGATTTAAAAGTATCATGTGATCCACTATCTAAATAATCGTTTCTTGGCCAATTCCCCAGAGGGGGTGTGAACCACTCGTTTAGGTCATCATCATCATCATCATCTGCATCCTCATCGTCATCATGATAATCACCTGCTCTTACGCCCGATGACATTGTACGCTTGTACGACGCACTTACACTATAACATTTCATGCTGCATTGCGAAACGTGTATGCAGAACGCATGTGTTTGCAAAGCACGAAAGTCACTTTCACTGCATTTCCAAGCGGAGGAAGTTATTTTCACTGTAATCACAAGCATACGCGTGGGTCGTGGTTCGAGAGCACAGGAACTAGTACATACCGACTCTTCCGCGTGAATGAAACAGTGAACCTCCTCAGCAGTGCACTTAAAGCTCTTCCGACTCGTTACAACGCTGACTAGTGCTTCGGCGCAACCATTCGGCTTGACAGTCTCCCCAATAACCTAGCGACTGGCTGGTGGAACTTTGCCAGTACGACCGCCACTTTCGCGAACGAGCCAGTCGCTGTATTCAGACTTGTTCGTGGACTGTAAACGCAACGGCCAGTCATCACCGGTGCCATGCGACATCGGCCCTCATTAAAAGTGGCTGCTATCGTGGTCAACTCCATCACCCACCGGTTCATCAACAACACAAAATGCGAACTTTGTATCGTGCCCACCACGTTATCAAGATCACAAATTCGACTAACGTGGAATGTTGTGAAGGTATCTTCCACGTCTTATGAGCACTATTCAGGGACTTTACAATGGCACTCAGGCACCTGTAGAGACAGGTGTACAGGATTACAGACGTCAGATTTACCACACTTGACGGGAACTACCTGAGGTATTGCAGCCTGGATGTGAGTACGCGCGGTTGGTGCTTAAGTATTCTACAATGTCACGTCCCTCACTGCACCTGACTATCAGTACAGCCTTACCTCATTGGCATCTGTACGTTTCAGCCAGTATCAAACCACAGTAAAATACTTGCTGAGTGCTCTAACTCATGAAGACCTGAAATTAGGAGCTGCCCGTGAAATGCCACTGCCACTGGTCAACTTGTCACAACCCGTTCGAAGAGGCCCGCTCAAACATAATTTCAAGTCGCCGTATGTTGGACGAAACACACTCCTCAGCTCGGCGTTGTTCATCTTTCCTTAGCAACCAGCATTCGCCTCGCAATCCCCACTAAAATGACCTCTGCCTGCATTGTGGGCACCACCGAGGTTCGAATGCCGTTACTACTTCGGGTAATAATGACTTTTCGGCATACATGTCTTCATGTCCAGTCAGCATACATGTCCAGTCAAGAAATTACGCGAGCACCAGCGGTAATACCTAAATGCTCTATTACTGATGGTAAAAGACAATGCGTTTTGATGATGGACTGATTACTTGACTGCCGGCAACTGTCCACACCGCCAGAAGGGTAAAGAATGAGTTGCACACCGAATTTATTCAGTAAAATAACAAGTTCCGCATTTTCCCGTGTCTCTGCAGCTCTCCTCGCAGTCGTAACCACATAGCATATGTTTGATGCCCCTGTACTGCTAAATTCATTTCAAACCGAGTGACATATAGAAAACAATAACGACTACGTTAGCTTTGTTTTATTTTCGCACGTGTACTTTACGGCTTGAAGTACATGTGGCAAACCTTTCAGAGGTTCATGAACGAGATTGTGAGTGGGTTCATTTCAGTTCTGTCTAGCTTGAATGCATTCTTTTTGCCTTAAGCGGTCCAACGGTTATGACCACAAGGCGGAACTAAGCCACTTTAAGAGGTGCGAGTACAATTTCATTGTAAACTACCTCCATGAGTGCGTAGGTCACTCGATAGCTTCTTCCACAGTATACATTTAAAGAGAGCTTTCGCAAACTTTTATTACCGGCAAATCATAGTGCAGTAATTCTGTTCAGTGTTAGTTTCAAGAAATTCAGAGCTCTTTCTGAGCGTACTCAGCATGAAAGTCTTTGTGATGACCGTTGCGGTTTGGAGTGTTACGCCAGAAACTCGAGGGCACTGCTTGTGGCGTACTCAGTGAAAAATCGGTGCATGGGCATTCTGGTATTCTGCCAGTAAAGTGCCTGTCTGTCCAGCCAACTTTCACTCCAGGTTCCACCAAGCGTGGACCGTGTCGTAAGCGTTAGCAGCCGTAAACGCTCGTTGGGGTTAGTCATATGACCAATGTGACTTCGTCTATTGTTATTCTACGTCACTGAAAGCTCTTTCGATGCTGCTGGTAAAATTAGTGAATTAGGAAATCACGTGACAGATGTTCTATAGCGATTAACTTCTTTGGAAACGTCTGTGACAACAGCTACATTAAAGTGGACTTCAAAAACATTTCCATATATTATTTGCATATTGTCAAAATTAATTCAATGATCATCCGAGAATTCGGCGTCTGAACACCCTTATGTGTACCTCATTAGAGCCACGTTTACAGACACTGTAGGCTATTTGAATTTTGTACGTTTTTCCACACGTGTAGGCCAGTAAAACGCAGCCAATATGTCTCTATGTAAACGCCATGACAAATGTATGTTTCATTGCGCCATGCCACGCGAAGAGATTGGTTCGTGATATCATTGCAACAGTCACTTTCACTGACATCACAGTCTACATTTGTTGCAGTATTCTTTGACGCATTTGTTTTGAGTCAATGGTATAAACTTCTCCTACATAATGTTGAGGTTCATCTTTACCTACAGATAAAGAAAATATCTACATTTACTATGAGTCTAAGTGACGTAGCACAGGTTTTTATAGTACCTATTTGCATTTTCAGAATTGTTTATAGCCACTCACTACATGTGGTATTATTCTCGTTTCAGAAACACGTGTGTACCCAAGACTGATTGAAGGTAGGGCTGATGACGGCGACTTGTTGCTGAACATCCATACGGGCCTGACTCTTCACCTTTGCAAAAGTTCAATACTCGCAAGAGACTTCGTCCTTACATCAGCCTCTGGCACTGAAACACACAGCATAATCGTAAGTTTCACGGACGGACGGACGGAGGGACGGATGGACAAACGTTCCGCCCCACTCATCATCATTCACTCCGTTGATATGCTGTGATTTTTTTTGGTAACCAGTCCGCTATACGTACAACTACCTCTTTGCGCGAACAATGCCCGAGTGTCTGGAAACATTTCAGATAATCTGAGAATATTCTGATAAGATTCTGGGCAGCACGTGAATGGTTGACTTTAATGTAATAACATAATCTTTGATGCCACCAAAAGAAAAGTCCAACGTGCTTTACTGCGGAGAAAATTACCGACCACAATGCTTACCTCTATCAATGTCGAGTAATGATCGATGAATGTGTGAGGTTTAACGTCCCAAAACCACCATATGAGAGGTGCCGTAGTGGAGGGTTCCGGAAATTTCAACCACCTGGAGTTCTTTAACGCGCGCCAAACTCTGAGCACACGGGTCTACAGCATTTCCGCCTCCATCGAAAGTGCAGCTGCCGCAGGCGGGATTTGATTCCGCTACTTGAGGATCAGCAGCCGAGTACTTTAGCCATTTAACCACTACGGTGAGTCTATAAATGTAGAGTATGTATTGCCTGAACAATAACTTCGCATTTCTTTCAGCACAAGTTCACGCAAACAAAAAGTTTCGTCTAACACCCGCCACCAATCGACTTCCTCGAATTTACAACTATGTGCCACTATCTACAAAGTGCGCAGCAGCACAACAGATTTCTGATTCTGTAAAAGTACTGTTTAGCTTTGCCGAAGAACAACGCAGAGTATAGGAGTTACTTTCTAGTTCACATTTCTAACCTCTTTAAGGTCAGCATTTTTATATTCGCCGCTGCTCGTGAAGCCGAAGACAGATTTCTTTCTTAAGGAGCATGATCTTTCCAAGCAGTAGAACAACCTGCATGCTGCCTTTTCTCGAACAAGTTGATGAAAGATTCTTTCGTAAGGCCTCGTCACATCACAGGCACAAAGCGAACTTGCCGTCTTCGCTGTGACGATATAGTATTTCATATCTCTTGTTTACACTCGCTCTGGTGTTTTCCTTCGCATGGTGTATAGCAGTGGTGTACAGATTAGAGATCAAAGCGTCGGCGATAAAATAGGCATTTCATTAGCGCCCCTGCAACGTGTAGGTTAGCAAAATTATGCGAACTGCGATCGTCCGTTCTCCCTCCTTTCCGCGGGCCAAAGTATGCGTGAAGGATGGGAGCCGCCGCCACGCGCTCATTGCGCCATCTTGCTGATAATACTGAAAACATAACGGCAACCTCCCCCCCCTAAATGCCCACAAACAGCGGAAAGAGGTAGATATAAATGGCTTGCCGTTTAAACGTTGAAGGAGGCACGCTTGGTTTCTCAGTTGTTAACGCCTTGCATTCACTACGTGGAGGTCCCACGTGCGATTCCGCGCACCAGAGTCTCTTGGTTTTTTTTTTCTTTCCTTCGTATTCATTTATATAGAAAAGTATAAATATACGGTGCATGACATCGACGCCAATGCCGGCGGAGAAATCCAGCTGAGAGTGTCCATATAGTTGCTATCCCAATGAAATGGTATATAGTTTCTTCATTAACTTGAATGGTGAGATGTCGACATCAGATAAGCAATGGTACCGAGTTTCAATCCTCGAACCGAGCAAAGTTCTCGTCACTTGGGTACTTTTATTCAAAAACCAGGATAGGACCCGCTTTTATTCATTTCTAAGACCCTCCTTTCTTTTTCTATCATCCGTAGAACTTATTTTTTTTGTTCGGCCAGAGGTTTACCGCTCTGTGTTTTCACCTACTTTGTTCCAGCTGAACGGGCCGGAACTCGAGCACGACTTGTACCACGACACGGAGCACCGTTCTTCGATTATCGTGAGGCGAAAGGAAAACGGCGTGGAGGTGGTGAGTTGTGGCCAACGAAAATGACGCTAGACTGCATGACCAGATTAAGTGCAAAACTTAGAGTGGAAGGAAGCGGGGGGGCTGACACATATCTCCGTTTTCCCCCATTTGAGTAATTGTTATCAGAAAATCTTCTATTTGGCTATGTTCACAGTAGTCCAGTGAAAGGCATGTTTGAATTAAATGCATTTTTCTTTTTGGACGCCAATGAAACGATGAATCGCGTTCAATGTAACCAACAGCGATTGAAACTAAGACGTTGATTTTTTAACTCAAGTATTCTAAGGCAAGTACATAGGGAGTCGTGTAATACTTATTGTCCTACTCATGGCATTCGCAAGTCCAGTGCGCAGTGCAAAAATGATGTGAACTTTGGGCAAGCTGGTTGATATGTTCATAGAAATTATAACATTTTATGGCCTCCCTTTAAAAAACAATTATGTCTAGTATATATTCAAGACATCTAAGTGAGGTGTTCTGGCCTAGGAATATTTCATGTCCTATGGAACGGCATATACACTGAGGAGGTTATTTACGATGAAACAAAGAACCCTCACAAAAAAGCGTTTATTACCTAACACCACGTTGCTCCTTATACAAGCAAGAAATCATGGAAAACCCTACGAGAGCACATCCCATCGTTTCAAGAATATCCACCACTAATCCAGCATGCTGTCGAATTGAGAGTTTCGTGAATGATACACGTTCTGCAAGCGGGGTTGCTGTACGATACGTTTCTAATAGAAGGGGACTGTGAACAACACCATGACACGAAGTCGCAAGTGCACAACAGAGAGCATCAATCACATCAACATGAAAACTCATTTGCACGTATGAGCGAAATGTCACTATTAAAGAGTCTGAGTTTACCACTGAATTTTATTTCAAATATTCATAACCTAATTTATAGCCTTTGTTCCTTGTTGATTGCAAGTGAATTGACTTTAATGCAAGTACTTCACGAAAACGTTCGAAGCAATGTCAAAGCTCTTTGTTTGTTGATTCCCAGTTGCGTCCACAAAAGATAATAAATTACCATTTTTTTGTGTTCGTAGCTACTTTTACAGTTTTCTTATCCCCTTCTCTGGTCTTCTCAATCATTATCTTGTTTGAACCACATTAACATACATTTGGAGCTATGACAACATATTATAACAGCCACTTCCCTTCCTCACCGAAGTAAGGAATGAGTTTCTTAATATATTCTGATCGAGCGGCAGTTTTTGTTCCCCATAGATTGCACAACCAAACCAACGTGTGCCAATTATTTATGGAGTACAATTATAATACCTGATTTTTGTATTATTGAGCTAAGCGCATAATATTTGCCATTCTTATTACTTGTATCAAACTCACGCTCAGGTTTTGCAAACGCAGAGTCCTAGTCATAAGTTAGCAGGCCACGGTCCCATAAATATATATTGCGTGGTGACGGGGGAACATTTTACCCACTCCTTTGCGATGGAATCCATGACATCGTTATTTTTGCATTTCAGAGAGGAGTCTTGAACGATCACCTCAGGATTACGCCGGCTGTTCTTTCGCAACGTTCTGATGAAGGTCTCATTCCTCATGATGTATTTACAGTCGAAGAAAGATCAAGCACTCCTGCGAATTCATGTAAGTCACAAAAACGTAGCGAATAGATTCATCAGTAAATAAACAAAGAGAAAACATGCCTGCCTTTCAGCGGGAATGCATCTGGAAGATCAAATGCCTGTACAGTTCTTCATCAAGAGTTCTCATGAACTGTACCAAAGAACATGTGGCCATGTTACTTTCCTGGAAGCTCATGAGATGAAACTGAAATGCGAACTAGGACGTACCCCAACCTTTCGTCGTACTAGAATATTTCAACTAGTGGCAATCATTTCACATTATAGATCTTTCAAGCCCACCTGATTAACAACAGAAAAGTACTAACACTGTACGCATGATTTCGGCAACTCTACATCTAAAGAATTATGAAACGGTTCATGCCATAGCTCGAGAATCACCCTTGCAAAGACTATTGTTACTTTTTGTAAGTGCCTGAAAATTTATATAGGTGTACATGTATGTAGCTGGTGGTTTAATCACACGTGCACACTCAGTATAGTGCTATTCAGCAGTGCACTGAGGTGTTTCGTGCCTTGTGTCCGTTTTTTATCTACCTAGTTTAGATGTCGAAAATGGCCCATAAGTTTTTATGCGTTCGTCTAAACAACCCTAAAGCGAAAAGCCTCGTGCTTCATCATTTCGATCGATTTTATTGATTCTGGCCAACAACAGACGTCATGGTTTCTGCACCTTAGCTGGTTTTCCAGCCGTGGTTACGAGATCAGCTGATGTTTGACCGTACCCGGTCGTTACACGGTGTCAAATTACGTGAACTTACAGTGACGTCACAATTACGGAATAATGACGTCGCATATTCTGGCGACGTATGGCATCATCGCATGATTTTTCATCGCTTTGTCTTGCAGCCTCCGATAGTTTTTTTTTCGTCTTTGTGGACGCATGGGAGGACTAAACATACTCAAAAATTCTGCTCGACAGGAGAGTAACAATGAGAATGCAATCTTTATTGCATTGCTACTCGTTCGTTTCCTTCACGTGTGTCTGCCATTTTGTGATCAAATTCTGACCAGGATCAAACTAAGAGCCATATATTGCAGTTCTCTAGCTTTGCATTGTGTACGTCTTCATGTTTGAACAGAGTAAACAAAACATAACAAATTGTCTCATTATTTTAACTGCCTTTCTTTTCCTGGTACAGCTGGACTTTCTGCGAGTGATACGTGCGCAAAGGACCACACGAAAAGTGCTGGCAAGTACATACTGTAGTCGTTTTCGCTGCAAAGATAATATGTTGCGCTTTCAGAGAAAAAATCGCAACATATCCACGGAGTGAATGATGATGAGTGGAGCAAAGCGTCTGTGCGTTGGTCCGTATGTCCAACCGCCCATGTGTCTGTCCATTAATCCACATGTCCAGACGGACAGACGGATGGACAGACAAAGGCACGAACGGACGCACGAATAGATGGACACAAGGACGGACTGACAGATGCATGAACGGATGGATGGACAAATGGTTGACCTCTTCCACACGAGGCGCTTAAATTCTGTTGTATTTCTTGCTTTAAATATTGGCGCACCATGTGGTATCTCTATAAACATGAACAGTATCAAGCTGGTTTAACCACTACTTTTCCGGCTTAATATAATGTAAAACTGATTACTTACAATTTTCAATTTACTTGAAATTCAGAAATCTTGGGCGTTGTTCTATGTAACATTTCTAATATAACTTACTTTTGATGTTGCGGCCAAGCAGCAATATATTGTAGTTTTTCTTTTATTTTTCAGCGAGAACAAGTATAAGTAACTGTACCAGTGAGTTTGTCGTCGAAATTTGCGTGGTAGCGGGGCCCACATATTGGCACATGTTCAATAACACTGAGGATCTCGTCACCTATATAGCGACGGGAATGAATGCGGTAAGCTGCGAGACATTCATTTCGAACATTTTCTTCTGCACATTATTGTTATTCTTACCTGTACTGGTATCGTAGCGACTAAGGTATACGGTTGTCGAGCTTGAGCGTGATCCCATGAATTCCTGGTCTTAGGAATTACAGTTATATTTCAGGGGGGGGGGGGGGATGAGTGCGAAGACAACCACGCACTGATATTTAGCGGCAGGTCAGGTAGCTCGCTGGTGGTGAATAATAATAAGCTTTTCTGCGCCCTCGCAATGTTGCCGACGTGCTTTAATCATATAATTTGCATATCTAGGTCCACATTCATCAGTGCTTTCGATGGGAATGTTGCCTTGACCAAATGTTTTAGCTTGGGACAAGCCTTGCAAAACTCTTCCCATTTATCTTTTCAAAAGACTTAGTTTTATTCACTGTTCCAGATCTGTAAAAGACGCTTCCTTAATTGTGGTTCTTCGAGAAGATAGTTTTTTTTCATTTTGTAGGTTTTACAGCTACTTTTCTTCAACTATGTCGAAGTGTTTGTGGATCTAAGCTATTTTCTTCGAACCTCAAGATTTAAGAGCCTCGAGGTCAGGTGTCCGCCGAAAACAATCCACCTTGTTGCTTATCAATAATCAAGCCACAGGATTTAACCTCGCCTAGCCGCGCATGCGCTGAGCATCAGCAGCCGTTAAGCCACGCTCACAAACGGAGATAGCCCGCACAGCTTCCGCACCGAGTTAGGCTGGCGTGGGGCCAGCCGAATACGAGCGAATAAAGGCCCTCGCTTCAACCAAGGGCGTCATTCACATCAGTACGTTAGGTTCTGGTGCTGGAGCATCGACACTCTCGCATGGTCCGTGATAGGCCATGGTTCGACTTAACTTGGTCTACGCCAAAAAAGGCTTACCATCTGCTAAAAAAGACCACGTTAAACACTTTCAATCGACTCCCTTGGCTCTTCCTTGAGGGTCACATGATTCCTATGAACATTTCCTTTCTTATTTACACTGCGATCTTATTCCAATGCATGTTGTTTGGTCATAGCGGTTACGGTCATTGACTTCGGTCAGTGACTGTATTCTTCGATAACTGTTTAATCAATCATAACATTATTTACCTGAGGAGGACAACATGATTATAGCATTCCGTTAAGTGTGCTAATGAGCTGCTCTGAGAATTTCTGATAGTTAAAAAAAACACAAACTTTTATTCGCTCCTTCAACCTGTTCAGTTCATGGCGGAATTTTTGGATCTGTAAGCCTTTTTTTCACCCTATAGGCGCAACGCACAATTTCTCTAGAGCTAACGACCTGCTCAGTAGGTTGTCCACCAATGAAGGCTGTGAACTCCCATTTTATCAGGCGCTAACATACCATTGACGGGGTTTCTAATTATGGACAACCTACCTCTACGCATTCGTCGAATAATTAACCTATGTAAATTTATCAATCCATACAGCTAACCTACTTACTATGCTAATGAAAAAGACCTCGAGTCTACTGACCCGTGAAACAGTACAACCAACTTCACTGAAATTCTTGATTAGTAGAGCCCTATAGTCAGTCATTGTGAATTGTCTTTAAGTTATGAGTTCTATTCTCATAAGCCTATTTATAACAACGTCTATTATAAAGGTATTTGCCTTCAGTGTTCTATACCATTAAAGCAGCGAGCACGTTTTTCAGCGCAGGCATGGTTCTTAGGTTGTCTATTAAGCACAAGTACGTACTAATTTTTATAATTTGCGTATGTAGAACCTTTTGCCTTGTATTAACGTCGACCTGTCTTTTTTTCTCTGCATTATTTCGGAGTAAACGAAAGGAAGCTTCAGCGGATAGCATAAATTACTCTTTATATCATTATTTTGGATGAAATATGGCTGTGATCTCCTAAGTAAGCGTTTCCTCAGAACCTGCACTAACACTGATAAGTGTGGTGGGGCCAGCAGCATGGTACGCAAGCCTTCGCATTAAAAGGAGGAGGAGGAGGATTCAAGAGAGAAGGGCAAAGAAGTTCACCAGTTCTCAGACCGGCTGGCTACCCTGTGCTGGGGAAGAGGGTAAGGAGAACAAAATATGAGAGAAAAAAGACGTTGAAGGAGAGAGAAAAAGGAGGAAGACAACAGACAATCCACGACGCTGCTTACAATTTGTCTCTAAGACCACTTGCCCGCAAGAATTGCAACAACGCTCTCGATGCCTAGCGTGCCGAAGATGGTTTCGGCCAGTGTCCTAATGCCCTTTCTTCCGATGGCGATTGTCTAGTCTATCTAAAACTTTCGACAAATCTATATTTGGCGCACTGAAGCGAGGACAGTCGCAAAGAAGATGGCAGAAAGTCTCCGCGCAGCCACAGTTGTCGCATATCGGACTGCTGGCCATTTCTATTTGAAACGAATAAGCATTCGTAAAGACCACCTCAATCCACAGATGGCACAAAACTGTCTCCTCAGCTCTGGTTATTACCAGTGGTTAGAGCATCGAACGCGTTATTCGAGCTCTGGTTATTCCTAATGAAAGACGGAGCTATAGGTTTGGGCTTAATTTATGAAGGCGGACATCGGTGAATGCCGGGAATTCCATTGAGCGAGTGTCAGTTCTGGTGCAAGTGATAGAAGTCTTGAAGTGGCGTCCGTTCTTGATAATTGTATAGCTGTACAAGAGGCATCATCATGAGCAGATCAGGCTGCTTCATCTGCACGGTCGTTTCCATCGTCGATGCTGCAGTGGCCCGGTATCCATTGATCCCGAGGCATATTCTCAGTTCTTGAACTTGTATTGACTGGACGCGTACGTTTGTTATTCGGGCCTTGCAGAGCACACGTAGGCTGTAGCTCATGAAGGCGAAAAAAAGTGCAGCGTACAGTTGAACATGGCTCGTACTGATTCACCCCATGATTTTCCCGCAAAAAACCTTAGGACGTCGGTCATCATAGTGTTTCTTCTTCATGTGAACGATGTGAGGGCTCCAGGACTAGTCCCGATCTATTATTACTTCCAGAAAACTGTGGGTCTTTTGATGGCTGATCGTGTGTTCATAATGCTCATGATGTATGGGGCCATTGCCTTGCGCGTAAACGCAAGCAGTGAGCATTTCTCAGATGACAGCTCCAGTCTTCGGCCTTGAAGGTAGTTAACGTCAGTGTAGCCGCTCTCTGAAGCCTGGCTCGTACGTGTAGACGCATGACCCCTGATGCCCAGATGCAGATGTCGTCTGCGTAAATCAGCAGATGCACGGAGCGCCGCAGGACGTCAACGAGGCCGATGAGCGTAAGCTTGAAAAGTATAGGGCTTAGGACTCCACCTTGAGGTACACCGCGATAAGTACCATGGTGCCTTGTGGCACCATCCTCTGTCTGAACGAAGAAGGTTCTGTCCTTAAAATGGCTGTAGATTCATTAGCAGATGCGGCCACCCAATATAATATTGCCCAAGACATCCAGCATGGTTTCATGCAATGCGGTGCCATATGCACCCTTAACATCCAAGAAAAGTGCCGCTGATAATCTCTTTAGACTTTTCTGCTGTTGTACAGACGTGACAAGGTCCTCAAAATTGTCTATGGAAGACTGTCTACGTTGAAAGCTGGTCAAAGCGTCGGGTCATATATTGTTATGTTCCAGGTACCACTCTAGGCGAGTCAGCATCATTCTTTCCATCACCTTGCGAACAGGCGATTTAGCTGGTTTGAGCAGGGGCACAAGGTGGCTGCACATCCACAAAGGAAAAACCAAACCGTTGTTCCACGAGTCATTGTGTACAGCTAGAAGGGCACGCCGATCTGTATACCAGAGGTTAGCAAGGGCCATGTAAGCGACTCCATCGGGTCCAAAAGATGACGAGTGCTTGCGTTCTGTCAATGCTGCCTCAAGCTCCTCTAGAGAAAACATATTATTCATCCGAGTGTCTCTGTACATCGGCGCGTTTCGTAGGTTACTCACGGTGATTCCGGGCCCCATGTTAGCAACCCTGGCACAGAAGTCTTCTGCTGCATCGATTTCACGGTGGCTTTGGTGGAGAGCAAGGCATTTGAACGTGCGATGCTGTTGTGGCAATGTTCGTAGGCCGCGGATTATTCTCCATATTTGCGAAAGAGGTTTTTCAGGATCGAGCGACTCGCATAATGACTTCCATCGTAGAGACTGTAGTGCATATTTGAAGTTGAATCTTCTTTTGTAGATGTCTCGCCTCCCTCAAGTCATAGGTGGATTTCGTGAGCCTATATCGTCGTTCGGCGTTACGATGGATACAGTGGTACGCTTGTATGTACTTCAAAGGGGGGGGGGGGAGATGCCCCGCTGAGTGATACATCATATTGGCAAATAACAAAGTGTTTACAACAAATCAATGTACCAAGGGA